CACACACACACACACACACATATACATATGAAGCGTTCATAAGCAAAAGCTCTAAGTGCCATCTGAAATTTTCTTCTAAAATGAATGAGCATTTTTCTCGGGCTCTCATGTGTAGGTTCAGTAATTTCACTTTAATGGCAATATATATATATACAGAGTATATGTCCGGCTTTACAGGGTTAATAAACCTGCAACAGCTCAAGAGCCATGTGTAACTTGAGCTCATGTCAGGTGATTGTGACCGGCACACTTTCACAAAACATGTGCAAGAAGGTTCACACTAACGCAAGATGATATTTCAAATATGTGTCTAATTATAGAGCAAAGACCTTTCACAAGATGCAGCTTAAGTCCACGACTCATAAATCATCAGCGGATCCTTTCCCAAACCTACTGAGCTGCCATAAAATCAACCTCTCGTTCACAATGGAGGACTTCTTCCCTGCACAGAATACAAAGAGCAACTAAACAAGAGTTCATCTAGACCTGCAGTTACAACACAACACATGATTAAACAGAAACAACTGCTTACCTCAGTTCATCACCACCCATCTTCACATTTATCTCCACTTTATTCATAATTCATGTAGTCCAGGAGGTTATTTGTTCGGGCCTACAGCAATCTTAATGTGTTTACCTTTATCCACATGTTTCTTATTATACAAATATATCAACATGTGAAATCATTAAGTTATGTATAATTTGATTAACTGTTTTTTACTGATTATATTCAAAAGGCATGAAAATATATTTAAAATCAACACAAACTTTGCTTCAACTCTCTCATCCATCCTGGATCACAGTGCATTCTGGGATTGCCTTAAATATAAAGGATACACAAATTTTCAGTTTTATATAAAACATACGGTAAAAAACAAAACTAAATAAATAAATAATATTCTAATGAACTGGATTAAAATATTGATATAATAAAATAATGTTTTAGAATGTAAAATATTTGAAATATTTTTTAAATAGTTTTAAATATTTATTTTTAAAAATAGTTTAATATTGTAATATAAATCATTGAAAAAAATATTTAACATGAGTGTAAAAATGTCTCAAAGCTCACATACATTTTAAGTGATTTAAATGTGGGTTTAAACTGTCCAATTCAATCCAATTCAATAACAAATTATTGAGAAGTAACTACACAAGATGTAATTGTGATTTTTAATGACCCATATAATATAATATAATATAATATGAATAATAATTAATAAAATAATATTTTTAATACAGAAAATGAATATTGTATGTATGTTTGTTCAATGATTTGTCTGTCTGTCTGTCTGTCAGAGTTCATGAGACTGATGTTCCAGCTACATATTAGGAAAGCAGGACAGAGCTGCAGTAATTCACTCCAGAAGTCTGGAAAGCAGTGAAGAGGTTAGAAAGAAGACAGAGAGGCTCTGAACAATGTTACGTGCTCAGATGGATGATGGATGTCTCTGTCTCTTAGTGATTGGTCAGATGAAGGGGTGTGAATGTCTGACCTACTGTACACGCTTAAAAATAAAGCTTATTGGCATCTGAAAAATATTATTAGCCATGGACTCTTTACATTCCACAAAAGGTTCTTTAAAGTGGAAAAAAGTTTCTTTAAATCATTCAAATGTTCTAAAACTCTGAACTGAAAGGTTCTTAGGGAATCACATGCAAAAACAAACAAACAAAAACTTTAAATGACATTAAAAGGTCACAGAGTTTACATAAACGTAAGTGATTTAAATGTGGGTTTAACCAGTCAGTGTTGCAGCATATGAAAGAAAATCATTGCAACAGAATCTGAAGAACATTGCTGGGTTTTGTACAGCAGAGATTTCACCAGTCTTGACTTTCGTTGTCAGTTCATTGTACTTTACACAACGGTCAGTTCTATTAAGAAGCGATCTCTGCTGTCTCTGCTCCTCGTAACCCTTACACACAGTAAACGTCTCATCTGCATGTCAAGGTTAAACTGGGTCTGTCTCAGTCAGAAATAAAGATCTGACGTCAGACACGAATCTCACTCTGAACAACAGCATGCAGAACATACAGACTCCAGCAGCCTCACATTCCACTGCAGCTCATGGCATGATCCTGTCAACACACACAGATGAGACAAACACTTCAACCTGGCTTATCATCACTCACTAAAACTAGAAATATATATTAAAAAATTAATTTAAAAAATCTTGTTCATTGAAATGAAGCTAAAATGAAATATAAATATTAGATGAAAATCTTAAACTAAACAAAATGTAGAAATGTCGAATAACAGAGGTTGAAGAAATAAAATTACTAAATGGAAAATTTCATTCAGTCTTTTTTTTTTGTTTTGTTTTTTTGGTTATGTACTTTTATAGCTTTCATAATTTAAATTAGCTTTTCTATTTATATTTTTCTTATATTCTTATTACTTATTATATTTATATTTTTTTATAATTGTAGTGTAGTTATTTTTATATACTGTTTATATACTATCTTAATTTTTGTGTTTATAGTTACTTTTTCATTTCTTGTATACTAAATGCCATTAAATAAAGTTTAAAATAATACTAAAATAAGTATGAAAGCAACAACAGTATTGTACAC